AGTTTCCCCCCAAACGACCCTTTACGTTATCCTCCTTTTACCTAGGGTAAATCCCACTTACCATTCACCCTCTCCCCTATATAAATCTTTCATCTTCCCCATTGTCACTTTACGCTTTAAGAACTCTAAAACCTTAAAAAACTCAGTGCAAACACGTATTCTCAAATCTTCATACCTTCTCAATCTTCTATAATGGTGAAACCAGGAGTGTCAAAGAAACAACCTAAACCCTCAGAATCAAGAAGCTCCAACCCCACAGACTCTCCCACGATTGCTTCCAGTAACTTCAGATCAATCTTCAACGATCATTCTTCCTACAATGCCCCAATCAAGTTGATGATCAAGTTCATCAAGAATCATCCTTTGTATGGTCCATTCAACACATTCACATACGTAGTTCCTGTTTCTACACTCTTCAAATGTGCTCTTTCTGCCTATCGACCACTCAACAACCTTCAAGAAGTTCATCTCAACTTAATAGACGATTCCCTGGTTATTCTGTCAAAAGAGAAGTTTCTTGATGCCATAAATCTTTTGATTCATCCATCTATCAAGTTCTTTTCACCTTCAATGGTCGACATCACATCTGCTCTCTATCAGATGAGCTATCGAAAGAAGATTAAGGGCATTGGTGAATTTAAGAAGAACCAACTTCCTGCAGTGTGGCACTATGTTTGCCACTATGTCATCCGATGTCTCTCCGGCAGAACCGGAGGCATCGACAACATGAGACTCAAGCTCTTGGAACTAGTTTGGAGTATTTTCACCGCCATGATGTCAACTACGGCCAAATTAATTGGGGTGATTTCCTTCAATACATTCCTAAGGAAAGTCCTAAGGAGAAACCAATAGAGCTCACTTTTGCTAGGTTTTAGTCCCTATGCATCTCCGATCTTCATTCAAACGCAGCTATCGACATGGGTGACGACATCAACTTCTTCGTCACCAAGGATCTTAAAAGGTACTCTCCCTCCTCTGAACAAACTCCTTTTGGACCTATCCGCAGACTCCTAACATACATTCTTAAAACCCTTGGTCTTGAGACTACTGATGTCTCTGACCACATAGAGGCTGCGGAGGGTATTGACCCATACCCCCTCCCCACCTCCTCCATCCGCAGTTGTTATTCCTGAAGGTACCGCAGTCCCTTCCTGGACCACCCTCTCTAATGTATCTGTGAGAAGAAAACAGTTAGCATCCAAGAAAACAACTACCACCCCCAAGAAGAAAGCTCCCAAGACAACCGCACCCTCAAAGAAGCGTAAGTCTCAAACTGTCACCATTACTGACAGTGATTCAGGTGAGGATGCACAACCAATTGCCATTCTCAAGAAGAGAAAACCCATTCCCCTTAGCCAAATGCATGACCGGACTGAGACCGCAGCCTCTCAACAGGATCCGGTAGTCCTTGGGGTTGCCGCAGACTCGTTCAACACATCCATCGAATTCCACTCAAGCTCATCAAGTGAGCTTGTTTCATCTCACCGTGGAGACACCCCACCAATGCCATTCCAAGTGGATGACACTGGTCCACGCCCTAAGGTCTCCAAGGCTTCCCGACTATACTTCTTTTCTGCTGAGGAGTTGAACTCCATACTTTTGAACATCACCCAAACACTGCAAACACCTTCCCATCCGCAAGGCACTTCTTCCACCACTTCTAGAAATGAGTTGAGGCCACACTTGACCACAGGTCAAGGAGACCAAGGATGCTAAGGAAATCCTATTCTTCTTACATCTGATACAGGTGGTTTAGGCACGATGAGCACTACTGTGCAAGAATCTGTGAACCCATGGGACACCTTTGTGCAAAATCAAGGAATTGACGGAGATGACTCAAATGTTTCTTGGAGCCAGTATCAACCCTTTAACGAAGCTGAAGCCAAAAAGTATGCAGTCTTCAGAAGGGCCTTCCAAGCCCGTAAAGATCAACAAGTTAAGCAGCAACAACAGAAAGACCAGGAACTACAAGCCATAGCTAAGTATTGGGAAAACGCTATCAGCAATGCCAATACCGTAGCCACCATTCTTAAAGTTCAAAGTCGGATGGATCAAATGTTTGCATATCTTCAAAAGCAATAGGAAGATGCGGCTGCTCAACAAACATCCAAACTTCCTCCTACTCTAGTCATTGAAACATCACAAGATGAAGGGCCCGAAATCGAAATCAGCTCTGCACCCATCTTCGGTCTCGATGATGAGGACATCCAAGAGGTAAACAAACCCTCTCCTACTGATGAAGACTTAATGATATTTGATGAAGGTGAAGAATCTAGTGGCTCTCACCACTCCACCTCCAAACCCAAAAAGAAGAAGAAGAAGAATGTGGTGACAAGAAAGGAATTCTTAAACCTTCAAGCTAAAGTAAATCAGATTCTGGCTGCGGTCGAGTCAAATCAACCAGAGGATATTCCAGGACCGCAGTCTCTAATTGAAAGAATAGAGCATCTGGAAGCTTGAGAAAGATTAGCTGCAGAGCGTATTGCCTTGAATGTAGAAATGGGGATAAGGTCTCTTGACACCAATCGAAAAGCTGACGATAAAGAGTTTTTATCTACCGCTGATCGTCTCATCACATAAGTCACCGCGGTCACGACATCCCTTCAAAAGGCCATTGCTGATCAGGCCTCCAATTCTGCATATTTGATTGTTGAGACTCACTCAGCCTATGAGTGTGCAATCTCTGTTCTTCAATCAACTATCAACCGTCTGCAACAGTCCTTGATAACAAACTTCCATGGTCCAGAGATTCTTCATCTTGTTAAGGAAATCCTCAAACTTCTTTTCATCTCCTCTATTCCCAATAATCAACAGCTGGCTGAGGCCATGAAGTCTCAGTTTCAAGAAATTTTCTCCAAGGTAGATGGCCTTCGGTCTTGGCTTGAGGAAGCTCCAGGTGTGCATTCCTCAAGAGGGGGAAGTAAAGAAAAAGTCCATCATTCTCACCACTCCATCTCACGCATCAAACTCCTCCAATCATCACAGATAAAATTCCAACTCCACATCAGAGTCCCCCCATCATCACTGGAAAAATCCCTACACCACAACCATCTCATCACACTCCACCTCACCAATATCCACCTCATACTGAAATCACCCCAGAAAAACCAGAGACTCCCCCCTCACATTAAACTACTTGCGAAACATATGTCATCCCGGAGTTCAACCGATTCTCCTGTCACCATCCAAAAGAAAAAGGACTGGAAATCAGCCAAACCTGTTGAAGAAATCTGGAGATTAAGTGGTTTTGACACCGTCATGGACGAATCCCTAATCAACGCTTGGGTCAATCCCCACAGAATACGGCAGGATGAAGACTACCTTCCCCACCTCACATATGCAGAACCGCATCCTGCTGGTTACTGGGATGTTCAAATCTCGCCCAATGCCAGATACTTCACTGTATTTAAGGAGTTCAACAGAAGCCTTCCCGATGATAAAAGACTGCCTATGGAGTTTGAGCAACTTGATCAATTCTATACTAAGCATGCCTCTCCCATAGAGCACATATGGTCCAATGACAGACCATCTACAGTCATAAATTACAAGGTTCGGAAGTTCATAAAGACAGAATTTTTCCAGTACACCCTCACCCGAAGGGGACACGACTTTGTTCGCTCCCAAGCGGACTTCCCCAACATGAACCCGGAGGAAATTTTTCTCATTGCCAAGGTATTTCAAAATAAGGCTGAGAAACACCCAAACATGAAGATTGCGCTTGACAGGGGCAACAACATCTTGATGGAAATCGTTTGCGATTTTGCCAAAATTGATGCGGACATCCATCCCATCATTTCTAAGAAGGTTGACCTACCACCCCTCGACCCCGCACTGATGCCCACCGATGGCTTTGCAGACAGATCTCTAGGTGCAACAAACTTTCCTGAACTTGGCTTCATTTTCAAAAGGAAGACCGACAACGTCAAATATTTTATTTCTATGATGGCCATGCATCGGCTCACCAGGAAGCAACTTGACATCTGCCGAATTACAGTAGAAAAATCCAAATTCACTACCGCAGAGGTTAAGTTTGAGATCCTGATAAGGATCACCTGGTTGGAGAATCACTACTAGAAAAAAGGCCTTTTACGACGCTCATTGCGCGTCGTAAAACGCTCAGACGACGCGCAAATGCGTGTCAAGGAAGGCCCTGTCATAAAGAGAGACGACGCGCTTTTGCGCGTCGTCTATAGACGACGCGCATTTACGACGCGCATTTAGACGCGCATTTACGACGCGCGGTTATGACACGCAATGCGTATCAAGGAAGGCCCTATCATAAAGGAAGACGACACGCATTTGCGTGTCGTAACCTTACGACGCGCGTGTTTATGACACGCAATGCGTATCAAGGAAGCCCCTGTCAAGAAAGGCCATGTCATAAATAAAGATGACACACATTTTTGCGTATCATAATTTTAAATGTTTAAAAAAAAAATTATTTATAGATTTACTAATTTTTCATATTAAATAATACATTAGAAATCTCATAATAATAAATAAAATACCATAAATAACAAAGATAATTCATTTCACTAATATGTCAAATACAAATAATTATTCCAATAGTGAGTAAATGTTACAAAAAAATGAACTCATTTATATACAATTGCATTATCTAGCTTACTATGTGCCAACAACTTCTATCTTTTTCCTTCTTTGCATAAACTTCATTAGCAGCATCCTAAAGAACTTCTATCTTTTTCATCAGCAACATCCTCAAAAACTTCTATCTTTTTCCTTCTCTGCATAAACTTCTATCTCACACTCAATGTAGTTTTAAACATCAGGTTTAAAAAATCAACTTTAAGGTTGCCTTGTTAAAGAGAATGACTAGAATAGATTTCCCTTTTTCACAAGGCATGTGCTTGCTTGCACATATATATGGAATCATTCTAACAAAAAAAAACTGTTCATGTCAACTACTCCAAGGACTATTACGTAATTTAACATGAAGAATTTTGTCCAGATGAAAGGATTGACTTTAAACTTTATAACAATCATTTAACAGAACTTACCTGACCATGAAGCGTGTTGATCCAGGATCTCCTTGCCTTCCTGCTCTGCCACGAAGATTTGTAAAGCAAGAAATAAATTAAAAAAGTGAGTCTGAAAGTATATGCTAAATTTATGTAAAACCTTAAAACACAATACTGATGCAAAGTTACCTGATTATCAATTCTTCGGGACTCATGCAGAGATGTCCCAATGACATGGAGACCACCAAGTCGTTTGACTTCCAATCCTTCATGAAAGCAATGAATCTCACAGTCCTTTAGAACCGATAAATAGGCAATTGCAATGCAAGGACCAAGAGGGTACATCTCTGCCTGTTCTTCCACAAGCCTTTGCAGTTCATCTAAACCCATTGACTGGCTCATTTCAATTGACTCTGAAATTATAGATTTTGCCTTCTCATATGTCCAACTCTTGTTCTCACTTTTGCCCACGTATTTAGCTGCGTTATTTACCCAAAACCATATACCATTCACATTAACGTTAGGGCCAAATGAAAGAATAGGTATTTCTAATTACCAGCATCCTACTCTCAGTACAACATCCTAAAAAGAAAAAAAATGAAAGTATACAGCTATAACCATAAGTGGTATAGTTTTCAAAGTACAGTGCCTTATGAAAGATATCTTTTTTAAAGAGTATGCTAGTATGGTAGAAAGCAATGAAAGTAGGATGCTATAACACACAAATAGATGAAAACAAGTAGTTATTGTTACTTGTTATATTTTTAGCCCATATAGAAAGTGAATACTTACTTCAGTTTTTGCAGTTCCTGTCATCCCTGAAAGCTTTGGATAAAGCTTAAACATTGATTGGTATGTGATTTGTGCCACTACAACTGAATCAGCCTGCAAAGCCCAAGAGGAATACAAGGTAATAGCTTTAAACAAGAGTTGTCAAAAAGAATGATGATGTGGCAGGCAATCGCAATATATACCTGGATTGGTAACCCTTCTTTTGCCTCCACAACCAGGTGAATCCCCTCTGACCATCGTCTTTTTTTTCCACTCTCCCCGTCAACTTCAAATGAACATTAATTTACAGCAATATAACTAGTTTTTCTCCTAAAATAAAAATACGATGTTTTAATACCTCGTTTATTATAAGAGCTTTCCCATTTTTAACAATGTACTGGACATCTTGGCGATAGAACTCCCATTTTTAACAATCTGCAGCTCCTCCAGCCATTGTGCCCAACATATACAGATTAATTTCAATGATTTTTTTTCACAGATTGAGATGCTGCAAAAAAAAAAAAAAAAACAAAATTAAACGAGTGTTTTTGAAGACTATTTAATGCTTTCAAATCATGTTGCTTTCGATTCATAATTAATTATTAATCAAGTAAAGATATATTATAATTTAGAAGGAGAAATGCATACATATATAGCCTCCCATGCTAGCTCGGGAATCTGCAGCAACCATCACACCTTCCTTAAAAATAAAAGCCAAAGTTGTTGTTCCTTTTGCTGGTTTTACCATTTGGATAGAATTCTTCTGAAATCCATCAAACTGAAGCAAAGGATTTGATGTAGTGTTTTAGCAATATATACATTCACTTAATATCTAGCAGAAAGGAAAAGAGAAAAAGGCAAGAATTGTAAAGAAACTCACATCTGATGTAACTGGTAGGTCAAATGAAGGGGCATCAGAAAGCAGGTCGTCACTTCCTCCATAGAGTGGTGCACTTGTGCAGTTTAATCAGATGCAAAATAAATCGCATACGATAATAATTACCTTTGATGAGCTGCAATACATCTTATACTCCAAACCATTCACCACATGTACGCCTTCCATGACAGCTGATATAGCAGAAGATTCATCAATACCTGAGAATTGGCATTTATTTCTGCATGTAATTAGGAAACAAATTAAATATGAACATAAATAGATACTTATTTACTCAATGTCATAAGAAGTATTAATATTTATTAGTTATTACCTCTGCAACATAATACCAGAATCCTTTTTTCCAGGCACAACAGAAAGAAAACCATTGTGAAGATAAGTTGAAAAATTATGATCCACAGAAACCGCAACCACATCAGTCTTTGCATTCCTAACATCCATCAGTTGAATGGTTAAACAACATAGGCCAGATGACTGCAAAAAAATAAGGAAAAATAAATAAATAAACCAGAGTTCTTACAGGATACAGAGACTGCTACATATGATTATACAGTAATAATTTATGTTTATTGTTATTGCTATTGTTACTCTACCTTCACTGTTTTGTTTTTGTTAATGTTATTATTCCTGTTACCTAAGTGTTAATGTTATTGTTTGACTGCTTTCTGCAACCATAGTTATCAGATTTGTGAGCAAAAATAAAGATAAATAAGCTTACCTACCATTAAGCCAGGATAAGAGTTTAGGGCATCAATGGAAGATGTCTCCTGGATTTTATTACCTCCTGGACACACACCATAAATTTTCAATAACTTGGTTCC